TATTGTCATTTTCTGATGTTCACACTGAATGAAATAAAGAACATTTTTAAATATATTTTCACCTGTCAAATACAGAACAAATGTTGAAAGCAATAATGCGCATAATGCTACCAAATAAGGCAAGACGAAATAAAAAAATTGCAGTCCGCCATGATTATTCCGTACGAAGTAAACAACTCTAAGTTTTATTTAACCTACCTTGATCTACTGACACACTTGGCTGTGTTGTTATTGTTACAGATGAGGATGTTGAAGGAGAAGGAATGCCTGTAAATAAGAATATAACGTATCACATTATTAGGGTACCTAGGAACGTACACATGCTCTATGCTGTATTAAATTTAGCGGTTCTACAAATCTTTCAGAAATGTTCCTTCTTAATACAATCAAAGATCCAGAAGTAGTTGCCCATGTTCATATAAATAACGGGGAAATAATAATATTAACTTAGAGGTTTCATCCGTCAACGCAATAAACACTACAAATTTCGACCCTTAATTAGTCATCTTCAGGTGTTCCCTTTCAAACGATTAATTACTGAATTGTAACGCATGAAAAATCTATTTCCTATCTTTGTACTAGTGTTAATTACTATATTCCTAGTTTACATACATAAGCCGTAAAGTGGCTATATTCTATGGATACTCCTTACTAATTACTTACATACTACTTATCGGATATTAATTGAAATTGTGATTAGGTATGAGTTTCTTTTAAAATTAAAAATTTTAAGATTGATATAAAATTGATTTAAAAATTTCGTGAGCTGTAATCGGCTTCGTGTCTTTGTCCTCGTGATAGCTTTTCTTAAATTCTTCTGTTATGTGTTGCCTTAATTCATTTCGTTCTCAAAGCTTTTTTCTATGATTTTTTCTCAGGGCGAGATACCAATTTTAATTCCAATTTAATAAATAAATAAAATTACAGTTTTTCTTAATTTCAACTTCAGGAATTTCGTATGAAGTAAGAAAACAGAAGATAATAGACTTAACGGCAGGAAAGTTTTCCCGAATTTAAACAGCAGTGAAATTAGTGAAGGTAAGTTTTATTTATTGGTGTTGTTCCCAAATATTATAAATTTGTTATATTTACAAGAAATTATATCTTCATATTACAATTATTACATTACTATTTTTAACAACTTATTTTTACTATTTTAAGTTTGTTATATATTTATTGACATATACATAAATAAATGTATATATTTTGTTTATTGCTGTCGTTTCCAAGTATGTTACCTCTTGTCATATTTCTAAGAATTTAATACTTGTCTCTATATTATAGTTATATTATTATTATTTAGAATGCATTAATACAATGTTGTATACTTATTTAAATACTTATGAATATTTAATTAAATATTTCAAATGTTTACAAAGGAAATTTCTATCTTCATGAAAGATGTTTTCAAAGTTCGAAATGCATTCAAAATCCCATTATCGATGCTGTGTAATGCCGGTCGTTGTTGAATAAAATGAAAAGACAATTTGTCCTAACTGGGGCCACAAAGGAGCCAAACTAAGTTGCGGCCTTAATTTCTGCATCGCGTAAATAATTAAAATATTTATAGCAAAGTTTTTAAAGTTTTCCATGAATCGTTAAGGATACAAACGCGTTCTTTTTTTTTCAATTAGAGGGAGGGTAAGAACATTCCCGGAATGAAGCTGCAAACGAAGTTTGTTGTATGCTTTCTTTTCTCCTACGACGAGCTATGGAGCATGTAAATAAGAGAACAGAATTTGTAATGTGTTCTCTGGAAATTTAAGCACGAGAAAGTAAAACAAAACTACTTTACTCCCCACAGAATTACCTGATTACTATTTCAGAGAAGATAGCTATTTTCGTCAATGAACAGAGTAAGGTAAGTTTGTCCATGTTCTTAACTAATTAGGCACTGTGCCATCAGAGCGTACGGAGGAGTGCATGTACAGATCCACATTTTATTGACCTTGGCACTAGCTTGAGGCTTCACGTCCCGACCTCTTTGTTCCTGGGAAAGAGACCCTGGTACCCACTGGATAGGAGGATGGGTGGACCCGAGGGATGGTCTGGATGTCGAGAAGGAGAGAAAATTCTTGACCTTACCGGGACTGAACTCCGACCGCTTTTTCGTCCAGCCCGTAGCCAGTCGATATACCGACTGCGCTATCCCAGTTCCAAGGAACAGAGTAGGTAAAATAAGCATTCTGATCATTTGTCACACGAGGTAATGCATATAGCATCGGGATATGGTGGGCATGTTACAATTTTAGAATACTAGTACTTACATTATGAGGACCTTCATAACTTGTACTCTTCTCCAAGTATAATTAGAATGATCAAGTCAAGGAGGATGAGGTTGGCAGGGCATTAATACGAATGGGGGAGACGAGGAATGCGTATAGGATATTGATGGAAAAGCCAGAAGGAAAGAGACCACTGGGAAGACCAAAGCGTAGGTGGATGGGCAATATTAAAATGGATCTTAGAGAGATAGGATGGTATGGTATGGACTGGATTGATTTGGCTCAGAATAGGGACCAGTGGAGGGCTATTGTGAACATGGTAATGAACCTTCGGGTTCTATAAAATGCTGGGAAATTCTTGAGTAGCTGCAGAATTGGCGGCTCATCCAGAAGGGCTCAGCTCAATGAGTAAGTAAGTACATTATATAAACAATCACACGAAATGGTAGAAGCTGAAAGCAATAGAAGCCAATTCGACTCCAGGGTCTAAAGAACAGATCTTACGGAATCGCCTTGTCTATACGGCAATTTCTCCGACAGCTGTGTGTCGCGGGAGAGTCAGTAAACTCTTTCAGGCGCCATAGCTTTGCTGCAGTGGCTGAAACAAATTCACGTATCGTGGGAGTAATAAACATATCGATTGTGTTTAGAACCAACCAGTAGAAAAGAATTCGTTCGTGTCCTCCTTCTGGGGAACACTGAATCTTGAAGCCAGGGTACAAAATACGGCCTCGAAGCGGTTCAATAAGATAAAACATTGATACAGGAAAGAAAGGTGACGAAATGAAAATGTAGGAAAAGCTGTTGTAATAGGACATACACGTAAATTATTTTATTTTAACTTTCCATTCTTAATCTTGCAATGTTAGAAAGAACAAAACAGAACACTCAACTAACAAGTAAAAGTTAAATCTATCCGTGTTTGACAAATTAAGCACTGCGCCATGAAGACACGTGGGAGAGAGGATGTATAGATCCAGGTTTTTCTGTTCTCGGTATTAGCTGCAGGTGAATGGTAAGTTTCACGCCCCGGCCGCTTTACCCCGCTCCAAATAGCCCCCGGTACCCTTTGGGTAGGGGGGTTGGATGGAGAGGAGAAGAAACTTGCCCCTACGTGGACTGGAATTCCGAACCCTAGACCGTCCCGTCCTTAACGAGTAGCTATATCGTCTGCGCTGTCCCTTCACTCGTTCTATCAGCTAAAAGTCTGCTTAAATTAAGAAAACTGAATTCATATTTCCTGCACGTAAACACTTCCACGAACACATATAGATAATATATTTATTTGCAAATATATGCGAAATATTTTACAACTATGTATTTATTAGCAATTGGCATGGAAATAATAAATTTGTACTTGATTCAGTTCACAGAGAATGCAAAGTTATCCGAGATCATAAAACTCTGCGGCAAGAAACAAATTAAAATTTGAAGAAAGCAGTCTTCTGGGATGTGGCACCGTGTAACACCACAGTGTTAACCGACGTTTCGGAGGAACGTATCGCCTCCATCTTCAGGGTAGAAGGAAAAATAAGAAAATCCGCAAGCGAAGAGATCGTGAGAACCGGTACAAACAACTATCCGCCTGTCACTTCTCACACCATTGAACCTACCCCCTTGTCTGAAATTTTTCTTCTGCGCATTCAAGGGTACTCTTGGCCTTGTTCGAAGTTACGTGACACTTGCTTTACCCCTGACACTACCACTACCACACCATCATCACCAGATAAATTTTTATATATAATTATGTTCACAATCTGGCAAAAGGCACTACTCATCTATCTTAAGCCTTATAGATCCAGGAGAATCAAAGCTTCATATCTGAAGCAAGCAACGTGTTTAATCATTGATAGGAACCCGCGTTTCTCATCTTACAACAGGAACAGCAATAAATGTTCTATTTTTGAAATTACAGTTCCTCGACTGGATAATAATGAATAAATCACCTGAAGGGGGGCTCATGTTATCCCAGTAAACAGGCTATATATGTCACCTTAACAAAATCAAACTTACACAAAAGAATTTTCCACTCTGTAAGTTGTACTTTTATCTAGACTTAAGTTTCACTGTGAGAAACACAGATCGGGATGTGGGCCCTTGTAAGAATGGCTATTAATTTAATGTAGTTTACTTCATTCCAATTTGCAGAGGGATCTGCAATAGAAAATTTTGATTATTCCACTTCTTATCTTCTATCTCTCCTTCGGTATTATGTAAAATTATAAGAGATCTTCAGCTTAGAGAAAATTTGATAGTATGATCTGTTTTACAGATCGACTAACGTAATTAGAATAAAAGAGAGTTGTGAGCGTAGAACTAGATTTGTTGCTCTATTAGTAGGTCATAAAGTCAGGTTGCTTGAGATCACAGTGCTCAGAAAAATATTTGGAACTGATATGAAGGAAGTGACGGGTAAAATGAATTTATACTTTTCACCTAATATTATTATGGTAGTTCAATAATATATATCTGTTTGTCAGAATTACGTTACTTTTTTTATTGCTAGAGGGGTGGGACTAAGTTCCTTGTACTGCGGCCACTTCTGGCCGATTGTACCAGCCCCAGATGATAGGTGAGGGTGATTGTGGAGCAATTGGTGGAATGAAGATTGGCGAGGGAAACCGAAGTACTCGGAGAAAACCTGCCCCAGCGCCACTTTGTCCACCACAAATCCCACTTGACCAGACCCAGGATGAAACCCGGGCCGCCGCGGTGGGAAGCCAGCGACTAACCGCTTGAGCTATGACGCGGCCTTAATTATGTTACTTGGAAAAACATATAATACATTCTTTTCTTCAAACGATTCTAACTATGCAGTTTGGCTATATTAAATAATTAATGGATAATCAAACACTTCAGGGACCCCTTTCAATGCATAATTTACACGAATACACAGAAACTACCTCGTATTTATCATTAACATCTTGCAGATTCATGCATTATTGATGACGTAGAATTAAGAAGTACAATTATGACTTGGTTTCCAGTGGTATGATATATCAGGTGATATGCAAATTTGTTAATTGGATCAGCGGTTATTGCGGGTTTCAATCTCAAACTTAGGGACGCACGGACATGACGATATATTAATCTGAATATTAACAATGTTTCACTCCTCTCTTGACAAAACTTAGTTCATGTCCCAGGCGGTGCGGTTTTCATCCAACACGACACAATTAATTCGTTTTACTATATGTTTTGAGCAATAATGTAACTATGGTCAGATAATGTAATATTACTTTCTGTTGTTTAGTACACTTAAGAGATTCTACGTGTACAGTCCCTTCGTATTCTCCGTAGTGCCAAAATTAATTGATTAATTTGAAGGTTACAAATAAAATTGTAATATATTAAACTTACTTACTTATGGAGCTGAGCCCTTCTGGAGGAGCCGCCAATTCTGCAGCTACTCAAGAATTTCCCAGCATTTCATGGAACCCGAAGGTTCTTTCCCGTGTTCACAAGAGCCCTCCACTGATCCCTATCCTGAGCCAGACCAATTCAATCCATACCATCCATTCTATCTCTCTAAGATCCATTTTAATATTGTGCACCCATCTATGCTTTGTTCTTCCCTCTGCTCTGTTTCCTTCTGACTTTCCCACCAATATACTACATGCATTCTTCGTCTCCCCCATTCGTGCTACCTGCCCTGCCCACCTCATCCTCCTGTAATATATTAAAACTTACTTAAATTGATACACTTCACAATTTCTTACAGTCGTTGGTGTAGATGTGTTGTACGTTTCTTTGTGTTCGTTTTATACGATATTCGTTGACAGTTGGTTCAAGACGGTAATGGTATGTGTTATGTTAAACCTGTTTTTCTTTTAATATAAGGAGCACAGGCAAATTCCTGTCAATATAAATTTGTTCACTCCAACTGTGCTTCTGAGATTTACCTCATTTCATCCTACACTTTTGTATAAATTTTAGTAATATCAGGTAAATTAATTTCTTAGAATTAAAACAGTAAAAATTAATTCACACGCTCGTAAATATATTAGATGCTTCTAAAATCTCGCGAGTTATTTTTCTTAATGTTAAAAACACATCTGTCATAATGAGAAATTTCAAGTCTAAAACAAAATAATTTTTGTTTTTGAATGCATTCGTGAAGAGAGAAAAATAGTTTTTAAAACTTATTCCCATATTAACACGGTTCTCCTCCCGAGAATATTAATTTTAATTTCCTACGACCCTTTATTCAAACTTCTCTGTACAAGCCCAGAAATATACATCAATTTCTTCATATATAAAGCTCGCTGTCCCGTATTTCTCTTGTTTTCCAAACCCAAATAAAGAGATCCAGCTGAGAAGGAAGTAGATGAAAACAAACGTACCACTCCTCACACTGTGAACATCATGGAATGCAAGAGTATGGGTTAAATGAAAATGTTCGCCAAATAAAGCAAAGCTTGTGCGACATACCCTTTGGAATGTCATGGGTCATATATTGGCTTGGCAATGGAACTGCGACGTTGAAAATAGAATATTCTATATGTAAGTTGTGGATATATTATCAAACAGAAATTAATAGAAGTGAAGCTGCAATGTTTCAGTATAAAGCAGTCAATACAAGTCATTGAACACAACATGCTTATTAAATTTTGAGGCTATTTTACTATAAAAGCGTCCTTAATTTTCCTAAGCAGACTGCTAAAATTTCTTCATTTACATGTATATACATATATAGCGTGATTCTGAATTATTGTCGGGGTTTCCGTGGCCTATAATCGGAAAACCAACAATAACTTAAAGTAACCCCCCCCTCTCTTATAGAACGATATCTTCGCGTGAACGACAGATCCCCCTTCTGGTGTGTTCAGGAAACTTCCGCAAAGAGTGATAGCCAGGAAGCCACTAGAGGCTTCTACAATGACTGCACCTTTACAAAAATATTGTAATATCCTCGAGACAGTCAGTTTGGATGAAGCTGTCGAGAAGGTGCCTGGCCAGTTGAGTCGAATCTAACTGAAGCTTAGAAGCAGTTCATTGCGTTCGTGTGTAGTGTGTATAGAAGCAGACGTGAAATAGCGTGTATGTTGAGAAAAGAAGTGACTTAAGTGCTGGCATTGCAAGGCGCAAGGAAAATACAGTGCAGTGGCATACAGTTAATTAGTACCGAACAAAAACAAGCTGACATCAAAATCTTAAGCGGCTAGTTGTAATGATAGTGTGTCTATTTCGAAACGCGATAAACGTTACATTATTAAAAACAGCATACTACCGTAAAATCTGACGCCGTCACAGACACAAGAGACCACTGGGTTCGTATTTTAGGAAATCAGTCGGCAAATTACAAGTGGATCAAATCAGGTACTTCCTTTTGAATGTAAGACGCATAGGAGGCAAGAAATTTATCAAGTAAAAGAGATAGTACAGATATGATATATATCATGCGTGGGGGGAGATTATGAAAGCATACAAAATAATTTGCACATGGACAGAACGGAGCAAATCAGGAGGAGTTGATATCGCAACAAAGAAAACACCTACATCTGACAACAGGATTCAGCACAGCTGAATCAGCAATTTTATTAATTTTAAGGATTTTAAGTATTTTAAAATTAAAAATAGCAATGCGTCTACATACCAAGATGACAGGCCAACGATTTTAGCAAATTTAGTAAATTTATCAGATGGTCGAGTGAGGCCGAAACACGTTATGAGAAGATATATGAAAGACGAAAATATGTGTTGAATTTAAGATGGTGATTATTCTTATATACAAAATGCATATAATATTTTAGTCGAAAATCTTGAAGAGGAAAGACTACTAACTAGATATAAATATTATATAAATATTAAAGTGAGAATTATACGAGTAAGGCGTAACCGTGTGGATTGGATTCATCGGGCTCAGTATAAAATGCAGTAGTGGGTCCTTGTAAACACAGCAATGAAACCTTTGGGACCGTGAGTTCGTGACTAACTGAATTAATATTAACTTGCTAAGATCGACTCTGAGGTCAGAGATATCTTGAAATTATGAAGGTATACAAGGATCCATGTACTCACGGTAGAGCTTGATGCTACCATCCGTGTCACCGAGAGAATTCTTGGAGACGCACTTGTAAGATCCGAAGTCTGAAGGGGCAACTGCACGAATTGTCAGCTTCATGTGCACCTTGTACGCGTTGTCCAGCAACACGGGTTCATATTTACTACCTGGTGAAGAATAATGCACCACCAAAGTCAGCACTCATAATTACAGATTTCCTAACTACGGTTCCTAATATAGGCATATCTAAAGGCCATAAATTTTTACTTAAGGTGTTTTCGAAATATGAAATTGCTTTATAAATTTATGAAGAAATATAAGCACAACCTCTGGCAGTGTCTGACTATAAATCTAGTCTCAGTACACGACTTCGTTCCCCAGAGTTTGCTAGAATATGTAAAGTACGTACTCTACATCAGAACAGACAACTTGCTTCTCCTTCAGACAGAAATATTTAGCGCGCATGCGAAATTGCATTTGAGATAATAAAGACGGCTAAGTCTCAGTTCTCTCTCTGTTTTGTACAAGTAGGGTTGATGTTCATAGGACTGAATTTAGCATGGCTTGAGAGCGTCAACATGGAATCAATTATCTATTCAGACACACAGTGGATGAGAAACTAACGAACATTGCTCCACAAAACATAAAATATATTCACCGTCTACAAGCCAACAAAACGCAGAGACTTGGCAAATGCACTATAACAACAAATTCACACCGAAATTGCTTAATCTCCATAATTTACGCATGCTGTGCTTGCTGTGAGTTAGTAGCAACCTGTGATGAACAACGGAATGACAAAATCAGTTGCCTGCATGTGTGAAGAGAAGAATAAAAATTAACACAAGTATCACTAGAAAATGTTAATTTCCAGAAGCAAATCTGAGACCTTGAAATAAATATTTCATCACATTACAGTAGAAAAGTGTTTTATGTCCATGTCACTGTTGATAGTTGCTAGTTAGTTAGTTAGTTAGTTAGTTAGTTAGTTAGTTAGTTATTGGAGAGGGTGGGTTTCCCCATGCACTGAGACCAGTACTGGTCCATTGTGCTTCCCTCTATGATATTCTACCAGTCTCTATACCCTACCGATATTTGTGCGTACCATCAGTCCCGACCGAGCCAGCGAGTTCGGCTTCTACTGGCTTGGCGGTATCTATAATGCTTCCCCCATCTATCAGAGGCGTTAGAGACTACTGTTGGGCGGGAAATGTCCTCGAATTTAGCTCAGTGACCTCCTTTGGAGATATGAGGTTCTTTTACGTGCCGTAAAGCTACGACACGGGACCCACGGCTTAAAGTCCCTCCCGGAGGACTTGTTCCCTGAATATTTCCGCCCTTAAAATTTCCACGACCTCCGCCGAGTTTGAACCCGCGTACCACGAGTCATGAGGTGGGAACGTTACCTCTAGACTACGGAGGCCGCTTTGATACTTGCAAAGTTACGTAGTTAGTACTGTCACGAGTAGACGGCGCGTGTGACGAAAATAATGTGGGTTCTAGATCTGATAAATGGGTTTATTGGACGTATCGGTTGCAATTACTCTTGATTTCAATAGTTCACACCTTTAACTCTTTTGGTGATGGATCTCTCTTTTTCTTGGACTAATCCTCTTCCATACGGTCAGACCATCCAGTATCTTATCTCCTGGAGTCTGTATCTGTTGTCTAGGAGACATGTACAATAATTCCTCTGTTGTGATTATTGTGAGCTTCGCTACTAAGTAACCGAAGTTCGGTTGTGTACCGCGTTACACCGGGTTTTCTGATTCCATATGTTAATGATTTGAGCAACCATCAAATTGCTTCCTCCTTAAGGCTGTTCGTCCCGAACAGCCTAACGGTATATCGCCGTTCCTTTCTTCCCAAGGGTTGTACTTTCGCCGTCTGGAGTGAGCCTTGCCGTCCTTCTCTTGATTTTCCTTCTTCTCGCGGTGTTCATTCTTCCACCGCTCCCTCCTTAAGGACACTCGTCTCGAGCGACCCCCTGGTAGGCTGCGAGCTGGTCTAAGTGTAAACCATCATCCTTTATCTATGTGTTTTCTGGATCCTGTACACCACATCATTAATTCGAGTGATTACTTTGTATGGGCTTTCATATGAAGATTGCAGCTTAAGCGATTTCCCCTTTAAGCGGGTTGGAGGATAAAGCCACACTCCGTGGCCCTCGTGGAGACCTGCGGAGTTGTGTACTTCATCGTACCGAGTTTTCATCCAATTACTGGCCAGATTCAGATGCTGGTGGGTATAATTGCGGATGTCATGTAGGTGGTCCTCTAGGTCTGCCGCATTATCCGTCGTGGGTGGTTCCTTGTCTGGGGTGCCCCAAATAGCAGGTTGCAGGGCAGTCGGAGTTCTCGCCCCCATACACGTGACAATACCACTGCTTACATATCCGTTTCTTTATTTCTGTTATTATGTTTAACTTCGTTGATGGTCTCTGGGCTTCTGCAGCGAGTCACATGGGTCTGATGACGGAGGCAGAGTCATTGAAGCCACAAACTCTTATTCCGTATTGGAATGTCTAAGAGTTGGGGGGGGGGATCGCTGAATTTAGTAGTCAAAATATCTTTACATTTTATAATTGTTTTATAATATGTTCAAATTGTGGCTGTAGTAAGACTTAGTCCGTGATGATTATTGTAGTCTCTACGAAGCAAGTTGTGATTATGGAGACGGATACAATCTCATAAATGTCCCTAGAAATATCACTAGAACACTTGCTTTGTACTGGAAGAGTTCTTAATACATGAAATTGCTTTAGTTGACATTTGCATATATGCATTCACTTGAAGTCATAGATTACAATGATGAGTGAGACAACGTTTGCAAATTTATTTCTGCTGAAGAATGCAACATGATTTTTTTCCTTGTGAAATTTAGAAGTATTATAGAAAATAATATTGTACACCAAACCAAAGCAACCACTTAATTACGAATGTAGTTGTGAACGAACCTGACACTAAACATTAAACTGCAACTAAGAAAGGACATTTATTCAGTTCTAAAGCGTTCTGATGATAGTGTATTCCAGTTCGCATTATTGGCTTTCTAGGTTATGTTCCATCGTGCGATATCCTGAGGAAGGAAGCAGTTTCAGTTTCCGAAATATTTTGTTCCGTTTTAGGATACCGGACGATAGACGAAAGCAAGAAAGCCAATAATATTAAGGACATTATTTTTTGTGTAGACATTTCTTCAACAATGAGCGTCATAGTTTAGATTTTCTCAGTTCCATAATTAAAAATGTCCTTCACCCAAATTTCAAGTCTGTCCGTACACGTACATTCATTTTAACTTTACTTCATGATGATGTCAGTTCTTATTTTAAACGACAGCATTCCGTGGCGTGTTGCTTAGATTATTATTAAAAATACCCCAACACATTTTTCATCCTGTCAAATTTAAGTTGGTTTGCTGTGTATGGATGGGGCACATGGTAGCGTAGCTGGTTGAGGCATATGCTATAAGCAGAAAGTCGCCTGTTCAATTCCCGATTAGATCATTGAATATTATAATTGACCTAACCCTTTCAGCCGCACTATGTCAATTCGGTCTCTAACTGAAATTATTACCAGAAATCTTCCTGTGGATAAAGGACACGCCGTACGTAAGCCTGAAAACCTCACTACCATCTGTCACCCTACTCTTTAGAAAATGTGGGAGTCTCGACGTCTCACAATCCTAGGGGTCTACACGGCCTGGGATTGAAATTAAACGGGACACATCAGCTGTTGGTCTATGTGATCTTCGTCTTTCATAGACTTCCATAAAGCCTATGATTCAGTTAGGAGGGAAGTATTATACAGTATTGTGATAGAGTTTGGGATATCCATGGAGCTAGTTAGGTTGAGTAAAATGTGTTTAAACAAAACGTATAGTAAAGTCCGTGTAGGTAAACATTTGTCTGATAAATTTCCTATCCAGAATGGTCTAAACCAAGGAGATGCTTTATCACGACTACTTTTCAACTTTACCTTAGAATATGCCAATAATTAGGTCCAGGGAAACCAGGTGGGACTGAAATTAAACGGGACACATCAGCGGTTGGCCTATACTGATGATGTGAATCTACTGGGTGATAATGTAGATACCATAAAGAAAAACACACAAACTTTAATTGACGCAAGTAAAGAGGTTAGTCTAGAAGTAACCACAGAGAAAACTAAGTATATGTTGCTGTCTCGTCACCAAAATGCAGGGCAAAATCATGACATAAAGATAGTAATAGATGTTTTGAAAATGTGGCACAGTTCAGATATTTGGGAACAACGATAACAGATCGAAACCTGATTCAGGAGGAAATTAAGAGGCGATTGAACTCGGGTAATACTTGCTATAATTCAGTCAAGAAACTTTTGTCTTCTCGTCTGCTGTCCAAACACATGAAAATTAGAATATAAAAACTATAATTTTGTCTGTGGTTCTGTATGGGTATGGAACATGATCTCTGACATTAAGGGGAGAACATAGACTGAGGGTGTTTGAGAACAGCGTGTTGAGGAGTATTTGGACAGAAGAGGGATGAAGTGACAGGAGGTTGGATAAAACTGCATAATGAGGAGCTTCATAACTTGTACTCTTCTCCAAGTATAATTAGAATGATCAAGTCAAGGAGGGTGAGGTGGGCAGGTCATGTAGCACGAATGGGAGAGACGAGAAATTAGTATAGGATATTGGTGGGAAAGTCAGAATGAAAGAGACCACAGGGAATACCAAGGCATAGGTGGGTGGACAATATTAGAAAGGATCTTAGAGAGATAGGATGGGATGGTATTGATTGGATGGATCTTGCTCAGGATAGTGACCAGTGGAAGGCTCTCGTGAACACGGTAATGAGCCTTCGGGTTCCACAAAATGCTGCGATTTTCTTGAGTAGCTGCAGAATTGGCGACTCCTCCAGAAGGGCTCAGCTCCATGAGTAAGTAAGTAAGTAAGTATGTGATTTTCGTCTACAATAGGCATATTCAGGAACATACTGCATTTCTGATATATTGAGTTTTCGGACTGTATCCATCGTCCTGGTTTTTAAGATAACTAATCGATGGATACAGTCCGAAAACTCAATATATCAGTGTGTTATACACCATCGTCAGAATCCTATAGTAAATACTGCATTTCGCTACACAAGAAACATCTTCAGAGCAATGTAATGACCTGATAAATA